AACATTTTAATTGATTGCCGTATTTACAGCTTTTGTTCTTCAAAATCACAAAAATTACTGAACATACTTTAAACATTGCAGAATATGAAAACGCACTGGCTTTTTGAAATTTTTAATTTTAACATAATTAAAAAAAAATAGCAAAGACTCATACCTAAGGAACAGTATGGCCTCTGGCCGCGAAAAAGATATATTGAACTGCGGATAAATGACAGTTTAAGTCCCGTTTAAAAAAAAAATCTTAGAGATATAAAGCCTTTTTGGGGTCCCTTGGACTCCTGGTGACCATGAAAAGGGTTAAAAATATTAATAAAATTATCAAACATAAATATATTTTATGATATTTTACAGTTGATATTATTTGAGTCATAATGTTATATTATCTTACGAAATAATAGAATTAAATATAAATCAAATAACAACTTAATAATAAATTAAATAAAAAATAATTAATATCTCTTAAATATATTAAACAAAGATATAATATCTATTTTATATTTCTAGATTAATATAAATAAAATATGTTAATAGAAGGTAAAATTTCCGAACTAATAGAAAATCTAAGACAAAGATATCATATTCACGCTTTACTTTTATTAATAAATACATGCATTTATTTCTGAAATCTTATATCATATGTAATGTAAACTATATATACATTAACAATAATGTAAGTTAAATTTGCGCATTTGTCGACAAAAGTGTGATGTGAATACTGATCAAAATATTTATCAAATAATAATATTTATTATGTATTATTTATTTTTTAGAATAACACATTCTTTTGGATAAAAAAAGGAAGTAATGTACAATAAAACGTTTTTATTAATTAAATATTTAAATAAATAAATAATTAAATAATAAAATTAAAAAAATAATACATTTCATTATCGGATACATCAAAGAAGATGTATTACATGTGGTAACTAAATCGTAAAACTTTTGAATTTGTAGTATATGTGTTGATTCAGGTTGGAGGAATAACATCCATTGTTCGTTGCCAGCCACCACCATATCCACCGCCACCACCTCCATGATGTTCCGATGCTGTAGCATAAATCACTTCATGACCACCTCCTCCGCTCGACACTAATTTTTTCAAACCAACTATCGCGCTTAAAACTAAAGCCATTTTCGCCGTCAGTAAAGCCGTGCCAGCAAGGAAAGCAATTTTTCCATAGGCTAATTGCGCCATCATACCTAAACAAATAATTTAAACTTCTATAAGGAAGATTGGAAGAATCGATTTTTTTTTCTATAATTATATTTAGATTTTTTATTCATTTAGAATACTAAAATAGATAAACAAATCAAATAAAAATCATTTTCCGTAAAAAGTAAATTTTATTCATTGCTTGAATCTATGATATTGTTTAAAAATATAGTTTAGTGTAGTATAAAAAATTAGTAGTATAAAAAACCTGAAAAAATTTTGATAAGTTAATTTAACTTTTTAAGTTGATATGATTATATTTTTTTTCAATTTCGATCTTGAAGTTATTTTTTCTATAAATTAGAATATTAATTTTCAAATAGAGAAAGAACTTACCTGCTAACACGGCACCTGCTACTATTATATATCCGAAACCCTTATTCTTTTTTTTTCTTCCTGCAAATATTGCAAATATATTTATTTAAATATTATTGTTGAATTTTTTCTCCTTTCAAAAAGCAATTTCTTTGTCGAATATACATCCGAACAAATAAATTGTATTTTATTTGTGTAAAACAATCGATTATACAACATTTTAAATTATAATTTATATTTCAATGATTTAATTGAAAAACATAATGCATTTTTAATGACACAATTTATTAATAATCTTGAGGTGCTGTTACCTTCAAAAGCATTTCCCGGTATTGTCAATTTCACGCTTCTCGATGTCAAATATTCATAAAACTTATTATCTAATTTTTGATCGAGACTTAGTTCCGTGCCATTTTCAGATTTCATCGAGTTGTGACTTCTGGCGGTAGATGTTGGATCTTTAGTAATTGAAATATAATCATTGATTTTATATACAGAATCATCTTGGATAGCCGAGTCGAGGATTTCCAAAGCACGCCGTTTGAAACAATTGAAAGTGTTTTTTTCGTTTGTGCACCGTTCAAATAGGCTTGTATATTCACTTTTAGCAGTCACTAAATTGCAGAACACCGTGAGATGAAGAAAATGTAAAATCCAAATCATCGAATGCCGTTTATCCATCGTGAGTATAATATACGTAAAAACTTGTCGATTCTCCTTCTTTATCTTCTAACTGTCTCTAGTACAATCATCAGCTTCTCCTCCGTTACGTCTTACACTGTCCACTCTGCTGATCTGTTCGATAAATCTCGCAGACTACTCGTTAGAGTCTGGTTGCATTGTGACTTATATAAGTGTGCACCCATTAGCCTCTCCTACCAAAGCATTAAGATTCCTGGTATACACGCCCGTACTTGATCCACGCGCTGTTTAACGCTACACAACGGAAGGAAAGACCCCTCAACCAAAACAATGTCGTACAGCCCCGTAAGTAAGTATCCCTCTGACCTGCTTATCAAACGAACCTTAAAACTCCGCCGCGCCAATCGTAGTTAATAACAACACATCAGGAATGGAATGCAGGTAAAACAGACGATATTCTCCACCCAAATGTGATTATAAGTGCAAACCTCTGCATCGAGAAGCAGAAACAGTTGTAGATTTATCCATCAATTTGCATGCATGACTAACTTTACGTGTTACAGAATAATGTCATGCGGAAATGAGTTTTTAGTATTTCCAACACTAATTATTTTTTGTTATTGTTACTACATACATTCAAGTTCAATATTTGAATACTGAATACACGAAATAATCGTTTTAGTATTCATCACTTGGGAAATTCTTTCATTTTGTTGCATTTAATATTACAGTATTACAATATATAACTAATATAATATAATTTAATATTACAATATACAACTAATAAAGATCAAGGAACTTATTATATCTGAAATACTGTTAATTTAGTGCAGTTTACAATCCGTGACGAGCTACATTTGGAAAATAACTGGAACAATTATAAATATGGAAATACTTGATTAACACTGTCCACTATATTCAATACATTCAAATTTCGTAACTATTTTTTTTTTAATATTTTAAGCTGTTTGTCATAGTAGCCAAGTTCACTATAGTTCCTTTATCATCTTGGTAAATTCCAACCACATCAATTCCAATTACATCGATTATTATACGAGGCCAAGTATTCATTATCCACTTTACTCATCGTCACTTTAATAATATAGTTCGAGTAATTATCAAGAAGAAAGCGTATACATAAATAAGCTTTTGTCACGCTCTTATTACAAAATAATACTGTCTCAACGATAATATTGTCATTTCTTGTAAACTGGTATTTTCGTAAATACTATCTTTCTGTCTGCAAGAAATTTGTATTCTTAACCGAACACTTAATTAAAAGTTATCTGATCGATATTGCTCATTTTTTAAATGTATTTCCATTATATAATTAATTGAAAAGCTTAACCTGTTTCTTAATATGCACTACATATACCTCTTAACACTACTCTACAATGAACTAGTAGTAACATACAAGGTACACGTGTAAAAGGAGGAATAATCAAATGGACAAAGGCGATAAACTTGTTTAAAAGCTTTCTTCATCGGTCGTTACAACATGCAATGCATTTCCACCTTATTAATTGTTATACCCGGCAGAGGATGATATGAGCACGCAGTCGCATATGTAGTCGCATGACCGTAAAGATACGATAGTATTTTCCTTTACAAGTAGGAGAGAGAGAGAGAGAGAGAGAGAGAGAGAGAGAGAGAGAGAGAGAGAAGCAAATGTGCGTTTCCCGGATGTAATCATCGTCATTCTTGAGAATGGCAATAACGTAAGAGCAACAGAGAAAGAGAGAACTAGTACAGTTAAGCGACCGAAAGAAAGGACGATGCGATAATGGACTAAGCTAATGGATCGCTAAGTGAAAACGTCAGAATCTCAGTGACAATTCTACTTGATGGACAGATACTTGCAACTGAACTTGAAAGTGAATTTGTAATAAAAAACATTGTTACACAATGCAGACAAAGAAACAGTTGTTTTATCGGCATAAAATATCTCTTCCCTTTCAACTCATTCGATTCGTCTAAACAATACGAATTGGATGTATAATATGGTAATGTAACGAAGTAAAAAATTAATAGCGTAGGTATATAAAATAAATATTGTTCTAATAAACATTTTACATTTCTTGCTATCTTTATTTGCGACAGATTATGCAATTTAATATAGATGTATCAATGTTAACAGAAAAATTTTATTTTAAAAAATTATGTTAACTCTGACTGACGTAATATTTGTAATAAATTTTTTTTAGTATTTTTAAACGCCTGTTAGCATCATTACTATTATAATATTGGCAATTAATTTAATTTGTGATATTATTATTGCCAATTTTAATTTAGGACTGTGTTTTTAAGACTGTATGTTTTCAGTACACAGTTTGAAATACTGGAAAATGTATTTAAATATAAATACAGAAATATATATTATTAAACACTAGATTTAGTTTTGACTACATTTAGAGTTTCTTTACTTAATTGATTTATTCGTATAAGCGGGGTTTAATTTAACTTATTACTGATTATATTAAAATGTTTGTTATATATAATTAAAGAACAAATAAAAGAAAAACGTTTCTTGATATGTTCAATTCAGTTTTTAATAGAGCTAAGTGTTTAATTATATGATCGATACGTATAATAAAATATAGAAATAATATAATTGTAATATTTGTATACGATACTGCAAAATATCGCATTATTGTAAAATAACTCGTATTATTAAGGTCTAAATTCTTAAGAATCTTATCTCTAAAACTCTAAATAATACAAAAGTTGATAAATTTTTTATATTTTAAATTAATTTAATAAATTGTTACGAAAATAATTCTCTCTTAAATCTAAAGTAAATATCTGACTTTGGTCATGATTTTCATGTTGATAATTAATCTAAATTTCTCATTAATATATTTCAAAGTTTACGACCAATTAACTATTTTGAGTCAAAAACAAAATTCCTCTTATTTTGTTTACTTTGTCCCGAATCGCTATTTCCGTCATAAACATTGACAACTTCCCTAATAACATGCTGATCATAAGGACTGTAGTCTTGCAAGGGTCTATAAGGTCGCTGCGGGTAATGGTAATCGTAATGGGTATGTACACCAGCCGGTGTGTCGTGTCCGTAAGCGTGGAAGCCATTAAACGCGTTTGCCGAATAAGGAGGTACAGCAGGTGCCCCGGAAAAGAGCGTATTCCATCCTAAAAGACCGATCAGAAATAACGCCATCTTCGTCAATAAGAGGGCCTTCTTGGTCACGATTAACAGGAAACCGAACATAAGCGGAATTAATGACGCCAGATTGAATTTGAAACCCAATAGAAATGGCAGTAATATGTGTCTGGTCAACTGCCTTCCTGAAATGATAGAAATTGACCTTGAATTTGCAACCAGTCCGGTTGTCTTGATAGTGCTGCCTGCTGGAGGACGTTCTTCAAACTGGTTGTAACATGTAACGTCTTAACCAGTACAAGAATCAGCATGAGGTTTAATTCCGCGCTAAGATAACACGAGTAATTCAACATGTAATAACAACCTACAATCTTTTGAAGCAAGCACTTTGTAACTTTATTCATTTTATATAATCATTCTTTCACAAATTATTTGAAACAGTTGCATGTAATTCTTACATTACATATTATTTGCACAATTTATTACTAATAAATTTTATGTACATATGTTTTTTGCTAATAAATTATTAGCAAAGAACATATGTGTATAAAAAATATTTGTAAAATTTACAATAAAATTAAAAAGAATTTTACGTAAAAACGTTCCCACAGTTGAGTAAAATTCTGCTTTATCTTTATGCAAGATATAAAAATGTAGATTTTACAACAGAACAACGATTATATATATGTATTTGAAACAAATTTTTCTTAGCGTTTGTTCTAAATTATAAATAGATATGATCAAGCTTATTGTGAAGATAATCAAATTTAAAATTAATTTTAATTAATTTTGCAGAAATAATATTATAGCTTACCTGTACTAGTCTGCCTATCGCCATATGAAGGAACTCTTTCATTAATAACAAATTCCAGTATTCCGTTTCCGTTTAGCATTGGTCCAATACGCATCTGTAATCCCGGATATATATTATCCAAATTCCACTTGACATTGCGACGTTCCATCAGTCTGGCAGCTGCCTTTACAACATTTCCGAAATCTTTTGGATCGTAATCCAGATCCAAAAGATCTCTACCGTAGCCCTCCGCTCTGTCAAGTCGCATCTTTCCAAACTCCAAACTATCCCTATCGTTTAATGACTGCAAGGAACTTAAAATGCCACGATTTATGCATTCGAATGTACCATGTTCCTTTTTTGCGAGACATAAACCAAGAACTTCGTTGAAGCTATAGGAATGTTCATCGTCTAAAGTGATATGTTCCTTGGGCTCCATGATCACTGTAAAACTCGTAGACACGAGAACGAGCAGACTTAAATAACGGAGTTCGCTTTTCATCTTCGAAGCACCGATCTCTCAGATCGTATAAACGTGTTTAGATAAAATTAAACATTGAATAAAAAATTTATAAGAATTAAAATAAACAGACTAAAGATACAAGGATTTTAGGAAATTTATAAAAACTTTTGCACAACCGTTTTATTTAAATTTATTCCAAGGCACAAAAAATAATCCACATTGTAGAATAATAGACACTTAAAAATTTTTGACTTTTAGAATGCTTTTCACATCTTCGAACTATCATAATTTTGTTTCTTTAATTTTTTAAGATTGTAACAAAAAATCCTATTATAAGGACGAGATGTAGAGTAATGAAGTTCCCGTAAAATACTGTTCATACTGTTCCTGCGATCACCTACCTATATAGGCGACAAGAGGGCGTTCACACACGACAGAACAATTGGTTTCACTCGGAAGATTTTATAAGTAGCGAAAGTATACTTCGTTTGTGTTTTGTGCGCACGAAGCTTGGTCGATACACCGGATGCACTGAGAAGGGTAATTTCCTCTGGTCGAAGAATGGAGTGTCCGAAAGATCGTTATATCTTCAGATTGATAGGACAGGCTTGATGGCTGAGCAAGAAAAATTGGGAACGCAAGTAGCGCGAATATAATTGCCGAATTTGCGTAAATCTGGAACATACGAGATCTAAAGATCGTCATCCAAAAGACATTTAAAATATTGGATTAAGTTTTTGAGAATCGTGATAATATATTTTAAAATCTTTTTCTTATTTTTAAAATAATGTTATTGTTATTAATTTTAGACGTCACTACTTCAAAATAATTTTTTAACTCTGACTTAAAGTTATGTATATATAAATATATCTATCTTATATGTAGTTTATCGCTATTATAATATGGTTTCAAAAATTCTTATATCAATATAGTCTTATTATATTTGTTGGAATTTGTATTTTTTGTGGTAAAGGATATTTGCGTGATAATATGGAAGAGAAATATTTGGAAAGAAATAAAATTGAGTCAATTTTTAATATTATATAAAAATTACAATTTATTTATAAATAATATGATAAGTTACATGATGATCCCAAAATGGGGTGATTGGTATATAAATAATCATTGGATTAAATCTGATGATCCCGTGCGAGTACTGACTACGAGTCGTTCCGCATATGATAGACACGGAGGATTCTGAAAGGATACCGCACGGGTATGACGGAGGGGGCGCGACTTCTACCATTCTGACAGGATTCCACTATTTGAGAGTCTTTCGAGATTCTCATAATCTCTGAGCACAGTATTCTGTCGATGTTGGTAAAGTGATAAGCTTCGTCATAAATTTGCCGTAATGTATATATCGAACCACAACTATCGTAGTATCCTTATTGATTGTCAATTACGGCACCGTCGTCGAAGTCGTCGAGTCACCGTACCGTTAAATCCAGTTCACGCAAAATCCAGTAACCGTCCGTATCTAACAGTCCTTTGCCCGTCCACATAAAATTGCGTTCAGTATAGTCGTTTGTATATCATAAGATAAACGTCTTTGTCGTCGAGCTGAGTTTGTTCACGGATCCCTGAGAAGTTGAGTCACGCCACCCTCAGGTGATCGATGGATTAGGGACGATCACTTTGGCGAATGTAGGTAGAAAATTAGAAGGGGAAGAAGTTGTGCGTAACTTTGAGCTATTCGGAAGGTTTGTACGCCTTGTATGCGAGATCAGAACCAGCCACCGATGATCTCGCCCAACCGTGACCATGGTCGTGGTGCGCTTCGTGTCCATAATCATGAACGGGGTGAGCGACGACCTCGTAGCTCTGGCTCTTGTAGGCAAGGAGTTTTTGCAGACCAATGATCAAGCTAATGATGAGAGCGATCTTACCGATGATAAGGGCTTTGAAAGCTATCAAAGCCAAAGCACCAAGGGCAATAGGGATAAGAGCAGCAGCTTTCAGTTTAAGAAGGAGAAGGATGGGTAACAGAGATTTAACGATTTTCTTCTTCTTGCCACGAGCTGAAACATAATTCCGAAATATAAGCTCTCTAATTTGTGTTTTGACATGTTATAATTTATGGGCACATCCAAACTTTCTTCATTTATATCTTAAAATTTCAAATAAAATTCGTGCGTATTTTAACTGTCTAAAAAGTATTCAATGGTAGAACTTGAAAACTTTAAGAACGTTCTTCTCTCGTTCTCTTTTTTAAAAATAAAAAAGTAATTAAATTTAATTTTACCTTCATCAAAAGAGCGGGAAACGTCTTCGGGAAGACTCAACTCAACAGTATGCGTGGATAAGAATTTGGCGGCTCTGTCGACAATGGCCTGATCAATTACAGCTTCCTTGGCTTCGGTCTCAACAGGTAAAGTACTTTCAATGTCATTAAGAGACCTTGCGTTGTCAGCTCGACTGAAAAGAAAGAAATATGTTCGTTATATCAGCGTATATCGAGCTATCTTAAACTTCGTTAATAACTTTCTGTGCTAATTTTACAAGCGGTCACCGTAGAGTCAAGTAGAATCAAATAGCATTGAAATTCTATGTTCATTGATTACAACAGTAATTAAGTGAGAGTAAAGAATTAATTTAAACAGTTCATAAAATGATAAATTTACAAATTCTTCTCTATTTGTCTCTTTACAATTTATTCTTCTTAAGATCATACTCAAAGGAAATTTGAATCTAAAAATAATCGAATATATTATTACAAAATAATTACTCGATCTAAGCTCGGTAATTAAATAGTGATAGTTTTTTTATGGCTTATATTATATAAATAAATTCATGCACTTTAGTCTATTAAAAAATATATGTTGAATATAAATTCATGCGTTCACTATACGAATCACCCCTAATAGCACACCTTATCTGGGATACATCCTGGGGATGTCCTTAGGCTGTTCAAGAGACATACGGACGTCCCCTGAAAGTCTGTGCCGTTAGAGACCTGGATCCCTATTCTTGAAAAAAAAACGAAAAACTAGGGAAATACTATATATAGTATACATAAGGTATACTGTGGTATTTCCCTAGTCTTACGTGCGATATTTTTCAAGAATAGGGGCCCTTCTTCATTTTTCACGTCCTAATTTCATTCAATATCGACCATCATATGATTCGATGGTCAGTTACCGTAAGTAACCGTAAGTACCGTACCGATCACTATCTCGAGTAAATCCCCGCGATCCCTTACCTAATTTTGGCATCTTCAGTCTGTACGATCTTGAATCCGTCAATGATCTCGATGTCGGCCGAACGAGCGGCACGGTCGACGTAGCGCAGGGCCTTCATCTTGAGACACACCGCAATACTCGATTCCCCGGAACAGGAAGCGTACACGTCGAGAGCTTCCTCGAGGATCGAGGATGGCGGTGCCACCCCCGCATCCTGTGAGGCCGGTGCAGCGAGAGCGGATACCACGAAGAGTGCGCCGACTACCGCGAATTTGAACATCTTGATGAATCTTCCAAACAGCGAAGGAAACACCGAATCGAATCAATTACTCCAACTTCTCGAAACTTATCTTCACTTCTTCTCCTTCTCTTCCTCGCGCTCTCTCGTCGATCTCGATTCTGTTTTTTCTCGCACGTGAACGCTCGAACGAGTACGGCGATCGTATCGATACTGCCCGAAAGAATCGCGATTGCTGCCTTTTATCCTCGTCGGGAAAGGGGCCCGCGTACGTTTTTGAAATTTTGATGGCCCCCACCGGATGGTCCCCGCCTGCTGCCGGGTTACAACCCATACGAGCTATTGGTTCTCCTCCAGGCGGTCGTTTGTGTCGTATACGTCTTGCGTTGCGAATACGCGCCTCCACACCGGTCCTTCTCCACCGGTTCTCCTCTCCGTGTGCCTGTGTGCCTACTTAGGCTGTTTGTGTACACAACGGGTGTGTGACTGTCGACAAACCCGCCCCGTACGTGTGCGTAATGCGCATACAGACGCACATTCGTGAGAGGAAGAAAACGAGAAAGAAAGAAGAGAGACGGTGAAAACGAGAGAAAGATGATATGTATTTACGCACTACTGGCCTCTTCCTCCGGATCTCCAAGATCAGATCACAATCAAATCGAGAAGGACGAGGATTTCGGCACGAGCCAAAAGCACAGATAGCAACGGTAGAAGGTGGAATGCGGAATGTCCTCTTGGAATTTCGATTTAAAGTAAAGATAAAGATAAGAAAGCAGATTTGTTCGACGTCATCGGGTATCATTCACCAACGTGCCACTGATTGACATTCTTATTGATTTAGCGATTTCGCGCTAACCACTATGCAAATAACCATGGAAATTTGTGCGAGACTACTCTCACGAAAGATTTAGGTGTTACGTCCTGTTTTTTACTTGCTAAATGCAATGGTGAAGATACAGCAGCTGCGACAGGAATTGCCTACTTGTCAGAACTTTCAAAGAGACACATGTGCAATGTGCTATGCATTAAAGATGAATTATCTGTGGTAGCATAAATTATTTGGCGTAGTCTTCTCTCCGGATGACTCTTGAAATGACTTGCCAAATTGAATCACTTGTCATAATTAGTTTCTAGGACAGAATAAGGGGACTATCCATATTTAATTTATTATCGAATTTAATCTCTTTTGTTATAATGCACTTCCACTTGCGCTTAAACTTTAAAGAAGGAATGTGTCTTAGAATCTCTAATTAACGTTACTTTTATTTCAAAAAATCTCATGGCACCATTTGCAAAAGATCTTATATTATATTAATAGAGAAGTCGATAGTCGATCATAATTTGACCAAACACTACGTTCAAGATAAGTTAGTTTATGATTTCACTTTCAAAGTATATTTCACCGACAAAGTATACTTCTATACTATCAAGTAGATGATACTTCATTCGCGTAGACCTCTACAACTTTCCAATGTGCTTATAATTTTATAGCCGATGATGGTATTGCAAGAAGTCGCATAGCGACTCATTCATTATTATCTGTAATTGTGACGTTCCTCGCTTACCGAAGCTTCGCTCTTATTATGGGATCACATTTTTTAGATTAACTTTATTACTATAGTTATATTTCCCAATAATATATCTCGATTTTCGCTGATGATAGTTACTTTTGGATTATGTATTTGTAATATTGCATTCCTCTTAATTTTCTTCTCCGCTTACCCTCTTTCTCTTTCTTTGTCTATTTCTTTTTCGTTTTCTATCCTATTCACTATATTAGTCCTACAACTTAAACACATTGTTAAGTTAAGATCAATATGATAACCAGTCAGTAATCTTTGAAATTAATGTATTCCAGTGACTCTGTCGCACGGAACATTTAACGGTTTTTCACATGGAATGTGCGTGCATCACTGTGGTTCGATCATGTGTGTGAGTTGGGCCCAAGCCAGAGGTTTCCTCCAGGAGGACAAGCCGCGCCTCGCTACGTCTCACCTTGCCTTGCCTCGTTCCGCATCATCGTGACCCGAAGGCTTCTTGTCTAGAAAAAAAGATGGAAAAAGGGAGGAGACATATCCAAAAGTATTTCATCGCTGCCAGTGTATCCATGCTCGAAGGAAAGAACTCGGATGTGCGACTGACTTTCTCCGCGCTTCAAGTTCGAAGATGGTCAAACGAATCTCTGCATCGGTCCAGCTTACGTTCTCACGAAGTCACGAACTCGTCTTATCGAAGAATTTGCTTACGGTATTTTAACTCACGACAAGCTATTTAAATGAATGGTATGAAATCTTCATTTAAAAATGATATCTAAAAATCAATTCTATAATTGTTTTTTTACTGTATTTATTAAATTGATGAAATTTACGTTAGAATAAGTAAAAAATTTGACATATCTAAAAGATATTGTCTAAAATGTATTAAAACGCTTAACATTTTTTTGTTTTTTTTTTTCAGATAGAAATATAAGATACAAATAGTATGAGAATATGAAAAAAAACTTTAATATTTGGTTTGTAAAGATATACATTTTTTTGTATAAACTATCGTGATGTAAAAACAACTGATATAAATGTTAATTATTTCTATGTATATTTTTATTGCTCTAAAATTAAACTATTAAACTATTGCCTCTTTTCTTTCTCTCAGTTTTTCGTGACTTCCTCGCGACAGTACATAATATACAATGGGTCTCAAGTGCAACTTTCACTTTGTTCCCGCTACTTTTTTCTCCCGTCCCTCACAAGAAACATTTATTTTCCTCACATGTTAGATTCCATTGTTATCAAATGTCCCTTTATGATCGGCAAATCTGAAAGCTCTGCTGTACTTAGCATTATATATGTATATCATATGTAAATTAACTTGTACATAGCATCGCAAACTAAAACACTAATCCGAGTGGTACATCGAGCTGGGTGGCAGCCGTGCGTACTCTTGGTGGTGGAACACTTTCCTCTCGTCGACGTCGGCGAGAGTGAACTCGTCCGAGGATCGAGGTCAGGTCAAGGCCCCCACGAAGTGAAGCCTCCGTACCTGAGAGTTCTCGCTCTCCTGCTTGTTCTGCTTCTTCTCATACCTCATCCTATGCCTTCGTATATTCCGTCCATTCGTTCGTGCGCTGACCGCTTCTTTAATGCTTATGAAACGTTTTTATAAAAAAAGTTTATCAAAACAAACTATCATGATAAAAGAACGAAGAAAATATTATTTGCTACGTATAAAATCATTTCTTAAATTTATTTATCCATAGTTTTTAGAGTGTATTTTTTTTCCTACTTTTTATGTACGATACGAAAGATAAGTGAAATGTGTATGAAAGTACATAATTTTGTGCAGTTATTACATGCATTTTATGTCGCTATGCGGGTTAGCAAAATCATAGTATTGATCCGTTTTGCTTCGTACCGTTGGGAATGCGAAGTAGGATACAAAAGAAAAAGAAAGAAAAGAATTCGCACCTTGCACGTTGGAAATATATATGAATGAACGAAACGAAAGTTCTCGCTTCTCTTTTTTCTCATTTGCGCTTGGATGCGATTCCGTTGCTTTTTACCTAACGAGCTCTTCTCTTTATAGTTCATTTAGAACAAACGAGGTGGACTAATAAAAACTCGCACAGACGAATAAAGCCGCATAAACAAATACACAAGAGCTATAATCGTTGAAATAATACACCCACCAAGATGCAAACAATAGGATAGGCAAGCAGATGAATGGTTAATAACTACTTCGTAATAACAGCGCCCGCGATACCGCAAATACGGGTATTCTCTGTGCACAGCTCTAATTTGTTTATTCGCCGCCGAAGAAAGCAGCGATATTAGTACTTTCACGAGAATAAATTTGTGCTTAATATAAACTCACTCAACTAGTTAGTGCTAATTCTTGCGTATGACCTACATACGACACTTTCCTAATCCGTTCCTCAGCCTATTTTACATCGCTGTTCGCCAATCATGACTGGAATTTCTAGGAATACCGTTGCAATTACGAGCAACATTGTAACTTTGAATGCATAAACGCAGTATCAAAATATCTATAAGCGATCGGTACATGCCGTATCTAATAAAAAGAAAAAAAAGAAGTGAAGGATTCCAAATCTCGATTCACACTGAGATTACTATTGAAATTCAAACGTGGAAGGGCATTTCCAGCACACGTGTCAGGAACGATCACTTGGGCAGAGATGCGTTCTTGAAAATCGGCAAACTTCGGATTTGGATGAGAGATGGAGAGGTCGACTGATGAGGACGAATATAGAGAGAAAGAGAGACGTGGACTTGCAGAAGATCGGAGAGAATCGGGGGACCAGGCTTCAACTTTTTCTCCGGTATGGTAGAGAGTGTTAGGCGCACCTTGAAAAGACTCAGCGCGGATGCTGACTGGCCCGATCGGTCTGCTCGGCCTGGTTTACTTCCCGAGTATGTGTCCACCGACTGGTCCCCGCGTGTACATCCTACGTATACGCAGGCTCTCTCGTGAGCGCGCACGTGTACGTTTACACGCTCGAATACTCCGTGGACGGGACGAGAGTCGAACAAGTGCGTAAAGATGGATATGTGCTCGCGTGGACACATCAGGTTTTATTCGTGCGTTTCTCGTATGTAGGTGATGCCGCTCCTTCCCTCGGTCCCTCTATCTACGTATCTACGTCCTATTCCGCTGCTTACTACTTTGACGATCTTTCTCCATTTTTCTCAAAGAGACAACCGGAGACTTCGGAGACGTATGTCCAGTTAGTTACTTGCATCGAAATGCTAAACCGTCATTCAGATGACAACTCATCGCGTACTATGCCCATAAAAGCCTTTCTCTATCTCATGTATTTGTCTCGGCGCTTTCCACCTCTGATTCTCTCACCCCTCCATCTTTCGTCGCGTCTCGCGCATTGAGATCTCTTACTTTCGATCGCGAGTCCCGAATCAATGGGCCATCAGTCGGTCAGGCTCCAGTTCTTTTACACGCCTCATCGTCTTCTCGCATCTATCTCACTCATGCTCCTTCTAGCATTTCGCTCTTTTCCGCTTGTTGTTCTCTCCTCGTCGCTCTATGATTTTAATATATCATCCGTTAATTTCGTCCGAATTTTAAACATCTAGCAGGTGATGCCTGAATTCCAGCTAGTAAGCGTAAAAATACGAGACAGTATAGTCGAGTATAACTAACACACAGTAAGAAGTTGAAATAACCAGCCGTGCGTATATGAATTTCATTCAAGGAATAGTAAGAATTCGTTGATAGGGATGAAAATGAGAACATAAAACATACAGCCGTATTCGATAATTATAGGCTTAATTTATTTGCGTATTTATAAATATACATATTTTATCGCAGCTACGCGAAACAATAAATATCGAGGATGATTGGTGCATGAATAGTTTGATACGTGCAATGATTTAAAATGTCGTAGAGTGAACACAACTAAATAAGAGACGGTGAAAAGAGAAATCAGACAGATATGAGAGTTTTATCAATAGTTTAGAGAGAATTATCCGCAAGATAGAAATAAATAAAAATTACACGAAAAGAAAGAAGAAAATTTTGCAAGAGAAAACGACGACATGATTAAAAAGATGCTATGATAACGTTTGTAATTTTTTTCCTAGATTGACGATGGTTTGTATGCGGAATAGGCAATATCATGTCCCGATCTCGCCCATCCGCCCGATCCATGTCCTCCTCCCCCAACTTGAACAACTTCATGTCCGTGCTCGTGGCTGCCAGATACGAGTTTCTTCAATCCGATGATAGAAGCGAGTACGAGAGCAAGTTTGCTCACTATCAATGCTTTACCAGCTAACAGCGCGAGAGCGCCGAGCGCCAGGGGTACTAATGTACCACCAATTAACAGAGGAATAGCAAGAAGACCACCCATTTTACCTTTCTTCTTACGACCTAGAAAAGATAATATAATTACGATTTAATGAAAAAAATTCTATATATTTAACAATAAAATAATAGGATTATAACAAACAATTATTTAAATTAATCTCATTATAATAAACATGTAAACTGTTTAAATTGTGCCTATATTATATATATATATATATATATATACATATTTATTTCAATTATACAAAGATATCTGATTAATCATCAGGCAACTTTTATTTTATTATTTATCACGTTATTGGAACAACTTTATTAACGGTATCTTCCTACCTTCTTCCGTGAGACTACGTTGAAATTCTTCTACATTTGGTAACTTTAGCTTTAGAGTGTGACTTTGAAAGAATTTAGCGATTTTGTCAAAAATCATGCTATTAAGAGCGTCCTCTTTGTCTTCCAACGCTCGGGGTAAACTAGCTTCAATTTCCTGCATAGATTTTTCTGGTTCAGATTCGTTAGTAGTTGATTCATCTTGAACTAGCGTGACGCCATCAGCTACATTCAATTGTGCAGTTCGAGAGACCCTATCTATAGCCGACAAGAGTTTCAGCTTTAGACAAGGACTTAGTTCCGCGCCGGAACATTCCTTGTATACTTGATAGACAGAGCGTAAGTCGCTAAATAGGCCATTACTATTCGATCTTGCGGTTTGTTGCTCGTTGATGGAATTAGATATGGGATTAGTTTCAGCTGATCTCGCAGAGACCGCTGTTAATACAGCCAGACATACATAATAGTGCGCAAATCGTTTCATTTTGCGAAGTGAATATCTGCGAAGAAATATTAATTTGATATTCCCACCAAATGATTGATATATTGATAATTTAGTTCTATAATTTAATAATCAAGACAATTATAACATGTTGATAGCGTAAGCCAACTAATAAATAAATCAGTTATTAAAGGATAAGGCAATTACTAATTTTCGTACATGTGTGTATAAGCACAAATAATTTTTTAATAGTTTTAAATTTTAGATTGTAAAAAAATTGTTATTCATACCATAATTAATTATATTGTTAAATTATAATTGATTAAAATTTATTAAACTTAGAAAAAGTCAACTTCTAAATTTATAAAAAATGTTTATGCCCTATAAAATATATCTCAAAGCATAATTTCTATTCAAGAATATATCGTGATATTCTTCGAATCACTTTTGCATTATCTAACTAAATCAATTCTGGATATATTTTTATATAAAATTGTATATGTGTGTGTGTATGTGTATTTCTCGTATATATCACAGGTCTATAAAACTTCAACACTTAATACGATTGCTCAAAGTTCGAATGAAGCCACGCAAGTCAATCAAGCACTGTACCTTCCACGTGGCTCGATACGAAAATCAAATTTGTCCTTTGCTTCTCTCTCAGCTATCCAACTGCATCCACGCGGATATCGACTTTTGGTTAGTTTGGTTAATTTACCACGATGCGTATATACCTGAGAGCGTATATACGAGATGCGTGTATACCTGAGAGCACTCTAAGTAGACTGTACGTAACGGAAGCCCTGCCCTAGCTCTATATATCTGGCCAGGTATACCTCCGTACCGAGCGATATTCTCCCCACCCGGTTAGCTTCAGTATTTGCCGCCACCATTTCGCGACTATTTTCATGCTCAGACATTGATTTGAGAACGGCTTTTACACTTGCAACCAACCACCCGGGAGGGCGAGAGTAGAGAGCAGAATCCCATGCGCTTCATGATCTGTCGAGTGCTCCCCCCGGATTTATCTCCCACCAGCGACCACGTGTTAGATGCATCCGAGCGATTCCATCGCAGTTTTGCCGTGAGCGGACAAATAATTCTGTGCTTTCCCGAGGGTCTCTTCTTTTTCTTCTTAATTATTCTTCGTCCGTTGGCGAGTTGATACTCTGCCGAATTATTTCGACCGGTTTAACCGCATTTTGTTCATATCGTTATTCCGTTGCCCTTCTTGTGCGTGGGCGGCACCGTTTATACTCACGCATTAACTGCCAGTCGACGCGGTTCGATGATCCCGCCTTTGTTCCTTGGATCTAATTTCTCGTTGTCATTCAGGTTCATGGAGGCATAAGAATAAGACTGAAAATGAAAGGAATAAACACACTTTGGAATGAGCCGTTGAAAACGCAAGATACACGTACCAAAATGTCAAGTCGAAATATTATAATGTGTCGCGGATGTACAATAGAAAGCGCTTTGAATGACGTTCACACGCGGTCATTGATATATTTGATAAGCAGGAAGCGCAATAAAATATTAAGTGTGTTATTGGCACAGGGCTACATGCCCATAGATTATTCTCTCCCGTTTATGATACTATAAAATCGTTTCCTTAAACCGAGGCGGTGAGGTAATTTTTAAGAATCCGTTGCGCTATCTGCTCTTTTCCTACCATAGATTGTCTTAATTATTTGAGATTTTAACGGTAATACCCAATTTAGAGATTTAGTAGAAGAGATATATTTCTAAATGTAATACCTGTTAAAAATGTTTCATAAAAAAACGTTTGCAGATATTGATCGAGACCGTTTAAAGTTACTACGATACAAAATTATCATCATCACATATGTACGATTGGATATAACTGCATTTCTCAAGTATTGAACACACAGTTATACTACTGGCATTAAACTTGTGATTCTTTGGTTCAGCTATTAAATCAAGGTGACAATGTACGTTCCACTTTTCAATGAAAGATCGAACAAACGTTTCCCTTTACGCATCAACATAATCATGTCATCGAAAAAGAGAAACGATGAATCGGCGAATTAACGTATACCGTTACGCGCGTTAGGCACAATTTCTTCATCCAATTAATCATCTAATTCACATGATGCTTCATCCTTCTACTTGGTCCTTCGTATCCTTGACTTTTCATCCTGTTCAATTCGACATACGCCAATGGACACAGCATTAACTAGGTCATACTAATTGTAAGTGAAAACTTGTAGTATGTATATATATATATAATATATATATATAATATATTATATAGAGAGATATCATTTTTTCTTTCCAAAGCTTGCCTTGAATAATGTTACAAAGCGTATCTGAATTATCTTCAAGTGTCTCCATGTAATTCAAAATTGTTTTCAAAACATTTGGTAATTCAATGTCAGTATATGAATTTCGATAGGCTAACGCAACTAAAAAATTTGCTGCTACAACCAAAAACTGGCAGCCGATTAAAAATGCTATGCCATATTTTACTATCTAAATTGTTGCAGCAACCAATCTTTTCTTTCAGTGTAGAAATATTATTAGAATATAATTTGCTTTAGCATATCATTGTACTACCCCCTTCGCCTTCATTAACACAGCGTTAAAACTGTCAGTGCATGACGTTTTCATTGAGTCGCACGCTACTCAAGAAAGCATTGCGACCGGATAACGGATACAAAGGAAAGAGACGCTTCTTCTTCTCATTCGCGATCGTTTAGCAGCTCGCTCCCCGCCGCGCCGCGTTCTTGTCACGAGTCCACGCGACTGCAATGCTGCCGACCGGAACTTACCTGCATAATGTCGCGTTACCGATTTCTCATACGCATACGTGCCATGAAAATGATCTCCTAACGCGACGGCGCGGCGCGGCGCGGCGTGGCATGGCGAAAGCGACGGATCTCGTAGGACATTACGATAAGACGCGAGATAATAATCGTGCGTCCAGGTCTTCACCATTTCTGGTTCGCGGAACCATCGGGCCGCAGTTCTGAATTCCATTTTGCACAACCTCGTCGTACGGTGATTTTCTCGACCGGCCCGATACGCGTGGCTGCTCGGCCGATGAAACTGTCGTTATTATACATCCTTTTTCTTCTTTAAGGCCACTCTGGTAGCAGCGGGAGGAGCAGTATTACCCACGGTATGCAGGTTACCAGTTGTACCTGACTGCCTGTGTGTCCGGTTTTGGAGGATAATTACTGGGTTAAATTAAATATCGTCGATGTTATACCGTGATTATAATGCATTTTTTTATTTCCACTATACCTATGAATCAGCGAAAAATCTAGGAAAATCTTATTCAAAATTCACGGACACTTTATCATATGTAGAATTAATCCTCGTGAGACTAATAGTAAATCAAATTAGTGTCCTATATTAGTGTTATATGACATGGAAACACATATTTCTAATATTAATGCTGCTCACGATTTTATATGAATATTAACTTGTGTTTTGCAACGAAGGTTATATTTTAAAGATAAATTAACTTTTTATGAATAATTCAACTCAAGTAATCTCAACTTTTGCAGAAATAAATTAATTACATATAAATATATATATACATATATATATGTATATATATATATATATATATATATACAAATAGCTAAATAAAAAATTTAATTGTTTCCAACATATATTAATCCCTTTTAAGTTTTTTGAATGAGAAAATTGCTTTGAATTTCTGCAGAAATTTGCTAATAATTCTAATAAAAATAGGCAACAAAAAATGCAAAAAAGAGAGAAAGACAGAAGTTGCAAAATATTTCTGCATATATCGTAAGTCTACATTTATAAATGAATCGTGCATGATCCTGTATATATTATATGATATTGCATTCCTGCAATAGACCGTTTATGTTGCACATTCCTCGACTACTTTCGCCCGCACTTATTAACTTCATCCTATTTTCTTTATCTATTTATGTATGGAAAATGTGGTACAGCAGCGCATCCGGTCTATGATCGTCATGCTACGAGTTCAATAGACCGTATTTCACGGCCTTACGTTACGCTTTATGACTCCGAGTGCAAGTGCAGTATTATGTATAAATAGAAGCACTCGGTCGTGAACCACGGTCACTCTTACGAGAGCCGCAGGATGCGCTGGTTTCTTCGGCCGGCGAACGCTATAGATGAACTTATCAATGAAATTTTTTTTTTCTTCGGGATAAGGACGGAGGCATCTCATTTGTTGTTTTTTTTATTACAAAAACAGGAGGTGTCATATGGAAGCACGCAGTCGAACATATCAAATAAATATTAATTATATAAGATACAACGAATAAATAACGAATTCACGTAACTCTATACGTATATAAAACAATGAGCATCTCCCAGAGGTACTGGTGACTGGCCGCGGAATCGGCCGTTATATAAGATAAAATAAAAGAGAGCAAGAAGTTAAAAAAGATAAGAATCAGAATATAAGAGATCATGTAGGCATGAGAAAAGGATAGATAGATTAATTCGAGAAGATTTTAAACTGAAAATAGCGTAATCGAATCGGAAATAACATTGGAAATTATAGGTAGCGGCACATTTTCTTGGAAAGTAGGAGAAGACTACACAGACAGCAACAGTTTAAGTAAGAAAGGAAAAAGGAAAGAAATAACGAGGAATGCAGCAAGTGAAGCAGGCGTGAGTGTAATGAAAGGGAAGAGAATCATCGGAAGAAAATGGAAGAGAAGCGAGAAGCGGCGCGGGACGGAAACTTTCTATGGTACGCTTAAGCTTGTGGTTGGGGTTGGTGGGCGCGATACGCAATTTCATGAGCATCTTGTGGCAGACTCCTGGCCCATCCGTGTCCACTGGTACCATAACCACCGCCGAAGTCACCGCCGCCGCCACCGCCGTAACCGCCATGGTCATCATGGCTAACATGGCTGCTGCTGTGATGCGGATGCGAGACTACTTCGTAAGTCACATGCTTCTGGTGAGAACCGAGAAGTTTCTTCAGTCCGATGATGGCTGAGATCACGAGAGCGATCTTGCCCACGAGTAAAGCCTTGCCAGCGATCATGGCAATCGCTCCGAGTGCCAGTGGTAATAAAGCGGCCGCTTTCAGAGCCATGGCCATCATCAGGGGTCCCAAGATCTTTTGCGCCTTCTCTGTAATATTTTAAATATTTAGATTTTAGTTTATATCAAAATAAGGAATAGATATTTTTCTCGGACGTATTTCTTCAAAATTACTCTTAAATAGCTGCTTAATCTGATTTTATCAGCATATAAATATGATTTAAAAACGTATTTGTCTTTACTATTTCTGTTATACTTTATTTTAAACGCCTGAAAGTATATCTTTGATTTAAAAAAACGTGTTTTTATATATGTCTATTTGGAATTTATAATCGTATTATTGTAATTAATGTAAATTATTAGTCTATTCAGACATTTTATTTGTGTAAAATAAGATTAGTATGTGTAATTCATATATTTATGTATATATTTCTTGCTAACTATGAAATGTGAATATGGAATATGAATTGCAAGGTTTGATGTTATCATTACTCTCTTTTCACACTTCTGTGGAGAACGGGAATTTGAGTACATCGTGAGCTGTATAGCAGGTACGTTAAGAATGTACGATATTCATTCCATAATGCGAATTACCCTATTATGTGATGTACTATTAACATATATATATATATTTTCACGGAATGATATATTTATGTACAAAATGCATATCATCTTTGTGTACTTATTTATAGTTGATCGTGCATTTAGATTTAATTTGATAAAGATATAAAAATCTTCAATTACAAGAAAA